TCCTCCTTATTTGGTGCATATACATTACAAAACACTACTTTAACATCGTTGAGCTTTGCTTCTATGCAGAGTATACGACCTTCCTTGTCTTTGTGTTGATTCATCAATACAAAATGTATTTTCTTCCTCACTAGTATGGCTACTCCACTCCTCTTGCTTGACACAGAATTATGAAACACGTCCGACCCAGTCACGTCTAAGTTTCAAAGCTTCCTTTTCATCTTTAAAATGTGTTTCTTGTAAAAAGGCAATGTCAGTTTTTCTGATCTTAAGATATGCAAGTATTTTTTTTTCTTTTAACAGGTGACCCACAGCCATTTATATTCCAAGATATGATATTTATACATTGTCTATCCATCACACACGGTGTAAAACTGTGCACCTGTTGTGCTCCGATGCAACTTGCTTGTTAAGTTCCAAAAATAAATAAATAAACCTTTAACATATAAACTGGTATTATACCCACAGTGATAGAAGATAGAAAACCAATTATTTAACTTCCAACATTTTTGTGAACAATGAAACCTTGAAAAACAAACAAAACAAAAAACAAATAAGGGAGAAAAAACTAAACTCAAAACACTGCCCTTAAGGGGCAGTGCGCTCCCTTCTGGGTCACACATTTGGTCCATGATGCTCGCGGTCAGAGCGCACTCGCTGACTCGGGAAGACAGACCCCAAAGCTTTTCCCGACCCACCATTTCAACAACGTATTATAATACTTCGACTTACATATTTCCAGTCACAGCAATTTACTTGTCACCTCCTTGTAGTTGGATGTGCTCCTTTATATATCTTTCCGCTTCCATGTGGTCAGTAAAACTCTGCTTTTTTCCCCTCCAAGTAAACTTCAGAGTGGCTGGATGAACCAGGGTATGTCGAACTTCACGGTCCCAGAGTAACTTCTTTGCTGCGGAGAATTTTTTCCTCATCGTTGCTCTCTCTCTCAACATATCCTCGAAGATGGAAAGCCTGCATTCCTCCCATTCAAATCCCCTACTCTTTTTCGCTGCTGCCAAGACTTTCTCCCTCGCAGTATAACGTAGAAATTTCACCAGCACGACCCGGGGACGTTGATCATCATTAGGCTTTGGCCCGAAGCTGCGATGACTCCGCTCAATCTCGAACTCCGACCCCATCAACCCGAGCCCCTCTGACAGGATCTTTTGGACATACTCGTTCATTTTGCATCCTGCTTCTTTCCCCTCTTTAAGGCCGATTATTTTTATGTTATTCCGCCTGCTGCGACTTTCTAAATCCTCAGCTTTATTCCAGAGTTCGGGGTTCCCAAATACCCGATCAATATGTGCTTGCTTCATTTCAACAAAAAAATGGTTGTTAACCAGATGTTGGTCCTCTCAATGGATCAACGGAAAAACATGTAAGGATTTGCTCCCATTCTCAGAGCCCTTAGGGCCATAGCACTCATATAGCTTTCAGATTCATCCCAAACATGTTCAGGTGTGATCTATGTGCAGACTCGTCAGGTTTTTCCAATGCCAAACTCACTTTGGGCACATGACATGTCACAACAGAAAAGCACCATTCACTATTCTTCTAAAACATTTGTCTAATGTGATTGCATGGTCATATTTTATACTTGATTTTATGTACTGTGCATGCTAGTAATGTGTCTATCTGAAATATACTTAACATTTAGAAGGGGTTGTCTACATACTTGAGGTCGGTCATGTGGTGTATTTAGCACTAAAATAACTCCATTAGCATTCAAGCATCAAGACATATAAGCCAGGAAGAGATGCATGTTCACATTGTTAAGTCATCCAGCCTGATGAATCCACAATATTAGCTCAGGTATGAAAGACAGGTTAAGCTGATTATAATCTGCACCGATATTAAAAGCCATGTCCAGTGAGACTGTATAAATTAAGTATAGTAAGGGGCCAAACACAGAACCCTGAGGCACCCCCATTGGTTTGCTGATGGTATTTTGCCCATGAAGTAATACTCAGAATGCAATTTTCAGTTTTTGTGATGTCCAGATCAGAGAGAGTAGACTGGAGATTGTGGTGATTCATCATGTCAAAGGCAGAAGACAAGTTTATTAAGGTTTCAATGAATAATTTTGGATTTGCTTAAACATCACATTAATGTTTAAACAGCCTGTTACAAGGAATTTCTTGGTGATGTTGTTCAGTTCTTAAGCATGTTTATCTGTTTGTTTGTTTAGGCAGCAGGGTCGAATCAGCAGTGATCCTTGCATATCACGGTTAGCGGTGGACAAACATGTGTATGTAAGTAAAAGGGGTGGCCACACTGTGGAGATCTGGGATAAGAAGACTGAGAGGATGATGAACCTCATTGACTGCGCACAGTTACTCAGGTGAAGTGGCAGACATTAACATAACTCATTCACACACTTTGACCCCATTTACACCTGTTATTAACATCCATTTCAGATTATCAGATCACAAGTTGTTGGCACTAAATACAAGTAGGGTCCAAAATGTTAGGAAAGGAAAACAGAAATGCATGTGTAGTGTTAATGCTAATCTGGTCTGTCCTGGATATCAGTGATGGACCACCTACTTGCCTGTCAATCACCCATTGCACTAAAACAAGATATTAAATGTATTTGGTTCAGAAAATAACTGTCCGATTAAAAAACAGTTGGAAAAACACATGCACAAGACTTCATAAAAGATCTCGGATTTGCTTCATATCAACATGAAGTGACACTGATCATGTGAAGCACATCTGAAGTTCATTTGTTATAGGAGTTTGACTGAAACATCATATTTGTGGCATGATGAAAGTTTTAATCATTTGGAAGCAGTAGTTCCACAACTTTTTGTGCTTTACGTTTCATGAACAGTGTTGGGGGTAACGCATCACAAGTAACGCGAGTTACGTAATCAGATTACTTTTTTCAAGTAACTAGTAAAGTAACGCATTACTTTTTAATTTACAAGAGAATATCAGAGTTACTTTTTCAAATAAGTAACGCAAGTTACTTTTTTTTCCAATTTATTGATTGACAGCTCTCCTGTCCCCATGTTGAGAGAAATCAGATGTTACTGTAGTTCTAAAATAAATATGAATATGCATTAATTCATCTCACTCACAAAAAAACACACAGATTCAGTATTCCTCAAAATGAATTTAAAAAATGCAACTCAGAATATGACGCAAACCTGCATTAATTAAATGTTAAACAACACAAATATCCTTTATGTATTTATTCCCATTCTATTAACCAATGTCTTTGCTTCTGACATTCGATGATCCAGTTCAACCGTACTAATAAGCACAAATTACTCTAGACAACATTTGTGTGTCTTTTTTTATTGCTGAAGTGTGTTGAAATGTCTTCTTCTGCATTCTACTGTACGGACGTAAATTTTCTTTCCCTTCAGCCTGAGGCGTATTCATTGCAGGTTTGGTGTGAAAAGGCTTTTATATTTGCCAAAAATATTACTTTTTTATTTTAAAACAAACAAGCAAGCCCTGTCCAGATTTAAAAAGTAACGCAAAAGTAACGTAACGCATTACTTTCCATAAAAAGTAATGAAGTAACGTAATTAGTTACTTTTTTATGGAGTAACGCAATATTGTAATGCATTACTTTTAAAAGTAACTTTTCCCAACACTGATCATGAAATCAGAGAATCTTCACATTTGAGGCTAAGTATGCTAAGTATCGACTTCCTAACCCTACCAATTTATATGTCCACAACAGATTAACGCCCACCAAAAAGCCCAAAGCCCAAAGTGAGGACCAGTCTAGACAAATGGTGCCGTCTTCGGCTATTGTTAAAGCTCTGTTGGTCCAGCACAGCGGTACTCTGTGGATTGGGACCAAAGAAGGACACATCCTGTTGGTGGAGGTCTCCAGCTGTCAGCTACTGCAGACCATCAGCCCTCACTGCCACTCCATACGCTGCATGGGCTCTGTGCTGCTAGGTACAATGTGATATTCAATATTACATGTAAAATATTTTAAATGTACTGAATTGTTTCAATAGAAATGACATTAACGTATGTTTTAGTTTTATATTCAGCTTAGACTTTTACCATATTTTAAACCGTAGACTTTTACCATATTTTAAAAGACAATATATGTAATTATGAAATTACTTCTAAGATGTATTTAAGTCCTACTTTAGTGGGTCAAAAAGCTGCATTTAATAAAAATTGACACTATAGTAAATTTTTATATAATTGCAGTTAACATGCCGTTACGTGTCTGAAAACATTAGTCGATTATGTTCTTGTAAAGTATATATTATTTCGTAATAAGTATTAATGTTTTTTTTTTTCTCAAGGCATATATACAGTTTAAAGAGCTTTTGTGTGTTTCATTCCATTACAATTGTTTTAACTAATTTTGTACAGAAATATTTATTCCTTATCTTTTGTTTATATTCTCTTGCAGACACACTCAACCGAAAGAATGTTATTATAGTACTGGGTAGACGGCAACGCGTGTCACAAGACCAAATCAAAACACAAGGCAAGAACATCATAAATACATATAGATTGAATTTTAAAATATAATTTTCATTATTTTAATAATAAGACAAATTCTATGCATGACGTTCATTTTATCTCAGAAGAATAAGGAACATGTGCTTCTGCATTACATGAGCCCTTCGAATGATTACATGATTAATATTTATAATCCGTTGATGTTTCCTGTGTCTGTGCTCGTCTCAGCTGAGGACTCAGTGCTGAGCGTGTGGAACAGTTCACTTCCTCTGGAGGTCAGAGATCTGATCAGACACTGTGAGCTACGAGACAAGATCACCAGCAAACTGAGAGAAACACTCCACAACTGATCGTACACTCTGTCTGCGCATCATTTCCTGAGAAAGCTGAGAAACATGTAACATTACTGTTTGCAACATTTGAAGGCACATAACAGAAAGTTCCATTGTCTACTGTCAGTAGTGCAGAATGAAGCACAGAGCTCATGTCCAGACGAAGCAGATGTCTGTTGGTCAACACGGTCGATTTGCGCAAATTCCGGGTTTCAGTTGAAGCGACTGGATTTCGCCGGTGAAAGAGCAACAGTTAATGCCACCGAACCTTTACTGTTTTGAAAAGGGACCCATGTGAAAATGCAATCTGTTTTATATAGTCAAGGGAAACATTTATTTTTGTTACATCTCATATGTTTGGATTATACAGAAAACCAAAATGAAAATTGCAAACACTTGAGTTAGCTTTATTATTTTATAGTATGTATTCATGATATGAAGCCATAAGAGCAGAGCAGAAAGCCATCATTTATCAAAAATATCTCTAATACCTCTTATGCAAATGTATCATGTTTAGTTTCCACTATGATACAATAGTCGCTACTGTTGTTAGCATCATGGGAGCACAGTGAATGAGCTGCTAGAGGTAACTAGCACCACTGTCTGTCATAAAAAAACAAAGATGAAATCTTGCACTTTTGAAGGAAATCCCACATTAATGCTAGTAATGCAAATATGTCAAATTCCAGAATTGGTTTTGAGGTCTGTTTATGAAGTCTCTGTGTTCATTGTTTGGAAATGAAATTATATGATGAGTAATCCATTGCTAAATTTTGAGCAATAAGCTAATAAATGACACTACACACATTCTCTGACCTTTTGTGAATTACAATCACATTATATTTAATGATCACAATAAGCCAGTGATTAAAGACTTTTTTTTTTTTTGTAGTTTTTTAGTCAAGCACAACAAAATATAACTGGAGAACAAGCCATAGATAAAGATGCTATGATAATATTTTTGTTACAAATATGACCTTTTACTGTTATTTTTTTTCTGAGTTGTGGGAATGCAATTATCATTGATGATTTATATTTGTATGTTGCATGCCAAGTATGTTTTTAATAAAGTTTTTTTTTCTTCATTTTGTATGATAGCTTTCTTTTTTTTTTTTCATCTTTTATTTCCCATTATTGTAAAAATAGTTTGATTATGTTTAAAACCTACATAGATGAGGACTAACATATGCCAAATTAAAATACTACAATATAACTAAATATTTTAATAGAATTAATACAAATATAATGTATATTAAACAATGATATCATTGTTATTACTACTAAATATTAATACAATTTAAAATGTGGATATCAATTAGAGATCGCTTTTAGAAATCATAACAAAATATATTTTAATAAAAATTAATACAAATATAATTTATATTAAGTACTAACATTGTTACAATTAAATATTCATATGAATAATTAAACGAATGCAAGGAAGAAATGCTTTGATCACATTAAAACAGCAGAACAAGTGCGGCGCTGTGATCTTTTCCCGCGAAAACAGAACCGCTCCAGAAGAAGAGTCACGTGTTCCGATTTGAAGGGGGTGGAGCTTGGCTGTCCTGGATTTTTTTTTAATTCTTCACTTCACATGCTCAATGCTGTTATTTACCGAAGGTGTGAATTATTGTTTCTGATTAGCCTACGTTTTAAGAATTAAAAAAAAAAACTCACTTTATATCTTGCGACAATGCGGTTTGCCGCTCGATGGCCCCGCCCCTTCAGCACCACGTGACACAAACAGCGCTCTCTCTGGTGACAGCAGAGGTTATATCACACTGATCAACGCTAAACTTCCTCTAGCATCGCTTCTGAGAGCAGCGGACGCTGACGCTGGCATGAGCCCGCTTCTCGCTGTGATTGCGCTCGGATCCTGCCGTTAGAGCCGCTTACCGGACGACAGATCAGCTCTGGAGCAAACTCGGACACGGCTCCGGTGAGTAACGTTCACAGCAGCGCATGTGTGGTCGAGCTCTACTGCATTAACGCTGCCCGTGAAGTTCAAACATGCGCTTTTCCGTTTGATTTTCTCAGTTTAGATCATATATGACAGTTGCCAATTATATCTGGCAGCACCTTACAACTTTATTTGTATTTTTAGTTATTTGTAGTAGCAGTATGTAGTAATATACTGCAATGTGTGAGTTTAATATGGACTTCTTCTTATTCTCATCAGATCTGGTTTTCAGTATGTCCTGTTCATGCGGACCTGCAGCGAGGGTGATTATAAAGTCTGTCCATAAAGGTGAGCGAACCATCAACACTCAAAAAAAAAAAAGACAAATAAAAAGCTGAAGAACTGATATAATGCACTCAACATTGATTCTTAACAGCAGATGAAGGCCAGCCGGCAGTTTGTAGTTCCCAGCTAACATTAGCTTTTGTCTATTCCCAGAAAATCTCACTTTTAAGATTTGTTATCCTCAACTAGGACAGTTTTAGTCTCAAAAATCCTCCGTGGAACGTTCTGGGAATGTTATTTCATAGTTTCACTTTGTGTTGATGCTCCCTTTAACAAATTCATTGAGCCCAATGTTTACTGTGGTGTAAAACGATGGTAAAAGAAGTGCACTTAAAGGGATAGTTCACCCAAAAATGAAAATAAGCAGATAAACATCACATTTTCATTTTTGGGTGAACTATCCCTTTAATCATACTTTTGAAAGAGTGCTTATTACAGACTTAAAGGAACAGTTCACCCAAAAATGAGCATTTGCTGAGAATTTACTCTCCCTCAGGCCATCCGAGATGTAGATGAGTTTGTTTCTTCATCAGATTTGGAGAAATGTAGATCCTCTGCGGTGAATGGGTGCCGTCAGAATGAGAGTCCAAACAGCTGATAAAAACATCACAGTCCATCAGTTAATGTGAAAAGCGGCATGTTTGTGAGAAACAGATCTATCATGAAGACATTTTGTAACTTTAAACCTCGCTTCTGGCCGAAATGTGAGTCAATCGAATGGAATTCAACTGGTTTGATCGTTTGGGTATTGTTTCCTGGCAGGTTTTTCTCACTCGCATCTTCAGCTCTTCAGCCGCACCAGAGCAGTTTGTGATGAAGTCCATCTTCCTCCATTCGTGCACGTGAGGCCGTTCTCACAGACAGCAGTGTGTTTCGCTTCTAAAGACGGCGATGGAGGAAAGGTACTCGTCAGTCTTATTGTTCCATTTACATGAATGTTCGCCTGATGTGTGAGATATTCACAGTTACGGTTTTGCAGAAGGGTGTAGGTGAGGCGGGTGGAAAGCGGGCGTCAGGCGCTGGAGGTTCAGGGAAAGGTGGCAGTCAGCTGAGATGTCCGAAGTGTGGAGATCCTTGTACACACGTGGAGACTTTTGTGTGTAAGTAAGGTTTTAATAATGAACTGAATAACTAGATTCCACATTACCAGTCAGTGTCTGTTCAGTTGTTATTAGGGTTGCAAAAAGGTGGAAAATGTCCAGTAAATTTTGGAAACATTCCAGAAATTTTGGAAACTTTCCAGGATTTTTGGGAATATTCCAGGGATTTTTGGAAAGTTTCCGGAAATTTTCCACCCCTTTGCAACCCTAGTTGTTGTTTACAAAATTGCGAGTGTTGCCATTTTAAGGGCAGATAAATGACATTTGCAAGAGTGTCCACCTTAAAAAAGAAAAAAAAAAAGAAAGAAAGGAAAAATCCAGTTTAAAGCACATTTGCCACATTCTTAGAAATGTCTGTTTGTATTAATGTTGAATTTATATGGTTTTGAAAAAAATGTTTGTGCTATTTTTTTACATTTCCCCTACACACACATTTATTTTACTTGTTAAATTTATTTTAAGTTTTTTGTTAATATAATGAATATATAATGAATATTTATATATGATATAATTAGAATTAATGATTTATTATATAAATATAATGATTTAGTTTCTTCATAAAAACATTAACATGTTGGTTGCACCCACATGATTTTTGTCGATCATGACTTTGATGGGGGTTTTTTTTTTCCCCAGATGTACTAAACCTTTGTTACAATTTTTATTTGTATTTTTTTCTAAAACATAATTACAAAATATGTACTAGTTATTTTTTTTTATCTTTCATTATGATTTTTAAACCGTTATGCCACTTTTCAGTATTCTTCCCACAAAAATATAATATATACACACACGCGCGCACACGTATACATACATATGTGACCCTGGCCCACAAAACCAGTCATAAGGGTCAATTTTTCAAAATTGAGATTTCTACATTGTCTGAACGCTGAATAAATAATCTTTCCATTGATGTATGGTTTGTTAGGATAGGGCAATATTTGGCTGAGATACAACTATTTGAAAATCTGGGATCTGAGGGTGCAAAAAAATCTAAATATTGAGAAAATCATCTTTAAAGTTGTCCAAATTAAGTTCTTAGCAATGCATAATACTAATCAAAAATTAAGTTTTGATATATTTACGGTAGGAAATTTACAAAATATCTTCATGGAACATGATCTTTACTTAATATCCTAATTATTTTTGGCATAAAAGAAAAATCAATAATTTTGACCCATACAGTGTATTGTTGGCTATTGCTACAAATATACCCCAGCGACTTAAGACTGCTTTTGTGCTCCAGGGTCACATATATAAAGGTAAACATAATGAAATGATTTGTAATTCAGTGACGCATGTTAACATGTTAGATTAGATGCAATTTAGAAATAAAATGAATCTTTTAATAAACTGAAGGTAGGACAAAGAATGAATGTCATGTCATTGACCTTGGCGTTTTGTTACATTTTTTTTTTTTGTACAGTAATGTGTTTTGTCGCCACGTGATGCCCAGAATAAAATCTGGCTCCTGAAGCAACACCAATGAAGAGCCATACAGATGATTCTAGGATCTGTACTAACTGCTCAAACTATGTCATATAGAGATGTTGTGAACTTATGGTCTTGTTGAGGAAACCGCTGGTTGTGGCATCTAGATATTCATGTCTATTGTATTTGCTCCACACAGCCTCTACGCGGTTTGTGAAATGTGAAAAGTGCCATAATTTCTTCGTGGTTCTGTCCGAGACGGACTCTAAGAAGGGTTTGAATAAGGAAGCGGAGAGCTCGGAGCATGTTCAATTTGCATTAGCTCAGAAACCCCCTCCGCCTCCTAAAAAGGTGCCGTTCCATCACACCATCCAGACATTATTACATTAACTTAAGTTGATATGTGTGTCATCAGATCAGCTTTTTAAAAGTAAACCAGTTGAAGCTAATCCTGTGACAGCAGAAATGCAGTGAACAGCTCTCACATGGGCTTCTGTTGTCTCAACCTCTTTAGATTTATGCCTACCTCGACAAATACGTTGTTGGCCAGTCATACGCCAAGAAAGTGTTGGCAGTTGCCGTCTATAATCATTACAAACGGATCTACAACAACCTCCCGGCAGCAGGCCGACAGCAAGCGGAAACAGACAAACAGAGTCCCCTCTCTCCCAGAGGTTTGTATTATATCATAATCTGACATTTATTAATAAAATAAAGTAGTTATTTTGGATGCGATTAATCGCGATTAATCGTTTGACAGCACTGAAATAAACATCTAAATGCTGTAAAAATGAACATGTTGTTCATGTTTTTTTCTATCTAATGTTAACAAATTGAACCTTACTGTAAAATGTTACCCTAATTTTAGTCTTTCAACAGTAGGGATGTAACAATTCACTCAACTCACGATTTGAATCACGATTTTTTTTTACAAAATGAGATTTAAGACAAATTATAAATTAAATGTGTCCTTTTATTTTTGCCTGGACAAAATGCTCCACGTTTCTTTGTGAAATTGAACTATAACACTATAATAATATACTAATATAGCACTTGCATATTATTGCTCTTTTGTTGGTTTTGATTGCTTCTAT